GTGAATTTGGGTGGATTTGGGGCGATTGGGGAGGATTTGAGGGGAATTTGGAGGAACTTGGGGAGGATTTGGGAATTTTGGGGAGAATTTGATAATTTGGGTGGAAAATTGGGAATTTTGGGGGAAATTTGAGAATTTTGGGGAAAACTTGGGAATTTTGGGGAAACTTTCGGGTGAATTTCTGTGGAGCAGCACCACGAACCCCTAATTACCTTAATTAACATTAATTCCTCCCCTTCGCATCCTGGACAGCACCGCTTGATTAATTAACCCCTAATTAGCCCTAATTAGCGCTAATTACCCCCAGCAACCCCACGGCACCCCGGGCACCAGCGGGCAGCACCTCGCCGCCGCTTTATTCCCCTCCCCACGAGCCCCCCGCGCTAATTACCCGCGGCCCCTTAATTAACGCCGCTCATAATGAGCGCCGTTGCCGGGCAGGGCCCGTCCCCATGGCAACGGTTGCCGGGGCGCCTGCCGTAAAGCGAGGAAGGGGCGTGAGGGGGCTCAGCGCCGCTCCGCCGTCGAGCGAGGAGGGCGGCTCTGAGGGGCTGCCGTAAAGCGCTGCCGCAGCCGAAACGGGGAGAAGAGCCACCCCAGCGGGGCGGGGGAGGGCGGGGGAGGGTAAATGCGGACGGGGAGAGCGCTGGGAGAGGGCGAGGGACGCCGCGGGGCGCTTTGAATGGTGACGAAACCATCGGGAGTTAAGCGGCGGCCGCGCCGCCGTCAAGCGAGGCGCGCCGCGAAAGTGTCGCGAAACGGCGCGAAAGGGTCGCGCCGGCGGCGCGGCCGGCCGGGCGGGAGGGAGCCATGGCGGCGCCGGGGCCCGGCGGCGGCTCCGGCGGGCCGGCCTCGGCCGGAGCCCCGGGAGGAGCCCCGGGGCCGCCCCCGGAGCTGCACCCGCGCTGCGGCCGCCTCGTGGCCCTGTCCCAGGGCGGCCGCAGCGCCGCCAGGGCGCAGCCGGGCCAGGAGTTCAACCACGGCTTGGTGCTGAGCCGGGAGCCGCTGCGGCCCGGGCGCGTCTTCACCGTGAGGATCGACAGGAAGGTGGGGAGGGGACTGGGGG